CAATGAGAGATGGGCTGCCTTTTGTGGGGGGAAGGTTATATATACCAACAACCCAAAGAGTCACATTCATGCATCTTTGCCATGACACAAAATCAGCAGGGCATTTTGGATTTCTAAAAACATTACACTTAATTAAACGGCAATTTTGGTGGCCATCAATAAAAAAGGACATAGAAAGTTACGTGGCCAGCTGCCCAAAGTGTGCAACTGCAAAGACGTTGCAAGGGAAATCGCCGAGATTGTTGCAAATAGTGGCAAATCCCTCCACTAATAGTGGCAAATCCCTCCAATAGCCATGGATTTTATAGTGGAATTACCAGAAAGCAATGGGAATACTGTTGTCTGGATGGTCACGGACTTGTTTTCCAAACAGGTGCACTTTATCCCTTGCCAAAAGATTCCCACCACAAAAGCCTTAGCAAAATTTACAGATTGCATGGGGCACCCCAATGCATCATTTCTGATAGGGCAGTGCAATTTACGTCTGCATTTTGGAAAAAAAAAATTATCCCTCTTAGGGACCATTCAGGGACTGACATCTAGCCATCATCCACAAGGGGATGGACAAACAGAACAGTGTCATTCAGTACTTGAGGAATATTTAAGATGCTTTCTTAATTTCCAACAGTCCGATTGGACGGACCTACTCCCTTTCGCAGAAGTTGCCTCAATAATGCAGTCCACTCCAGCACAGGTTACACTCCTTTTCAAATAGCCAACGGTCAAAGTTTCAACCCCATGCCAGAATTAATCCCAAACAAACCGGAAATCCCATCACTGAAAGAATGGATGGAACAATTACAAAACACCTGGCCAATAGTTAGAAAAGCACTAGATGAAGCTAGGCAGGCATACAAAGCACAAGCCAATAAAAAAGGGTTGAGCCTACACCATTCATTATAGGAGAAATGGTGTACTTCTCTACAAAATACCTAAAGTCCCTACAACCCTGTAAAAAACATGAACCAAAATATATAGGATCTTTTCCAATTAAAAGAATCATAAACCCAGTAACAGTAGAATTAAAATTACCAAAAATCTCAGGCAAATACACCCAATTTTTCATTGCAGCTTGCTGAAAAGAGAGCATCAGTCATCGTTACGGCCAAAAATCCCCCCACCACCACCTCCAATCATGTTGGAGGGCGAACAACACTTCAAAATAAAGGAAATCCTAGACTCTAGGAGATATCATGGAGCGACTCAGTACCTAGCTGCATGGAAACACCTCCCTGCCTCACAAAATGAGTGGGCCCATAAACGTCATGTCAGAGCCTTGAAGCTATTAAAGAAGTTTCACACAGAGTATCCTAACAAGCCTGACTAACTTTTATAACTTTTATGTTTTGTTTTCTTTCAGGTGTATCTCTCTTATTTTTAAGGGGGCAGGATGTCAGAATCCACTTATACTTCATCTCCAGTTATCAATTATAGAAAACCCCATTTCTGCCCTCTATGGATTCTGCCATATGATGAAGGGGAAGGGGGGTGAACAAAGGGATTTTATGGCCCTCATTTCCTTCAGTACAACTTCAAAGGGATTGAATGTGGATACCACCAAAAGGACTAAATCATAACAATGGGGCCATCAGTTTTCATCTACTCCTCTCTGAAGTCTCCCTTCCACTGGCAGTGAGGAAAAAGGGGGTGGAAATGTAATGCCTGGGATTGTCGCTGGAAAGATGGTGGGGTGGGGTGGGGCTGCTGGTTACCCCTTAAAACCTTGAACCATTGGTCTTGGGCCCCAGGTCCTGTGTAGAATGCCTGCAACCATTTTCTCTTAATAAAGGATGCCTGTTGGAAGAAATATTCCAAGAGTTCTGTCTTCTTAAGATGCAAAGTGGGATAGGTCCTTACAAAGTCTGTGCTGTGGAATTATTCAGGAAATAACATATAACTTGCATATTTGTGGACCTAAAGAAGAGGCTAAAGCAAATGTTTGCTATGGCAACAACTACTGAAAATGTAGCAAGCCTGTAGTAAAAGATTTCTGTTCCAGTATTATCTTTCTGCATGTGAAATCTGTAAACCCAGAGTAAGGAAAGGATAGGAAGTCTGAATGGATAAAATGAAAATGGAAGGGAAGAGTATGTGTGTCTTTCCATTTGCAACCATCCAAACTAAAGATCATCTTGATCATCTTTTTTATTTATTTATCAAATTTAGAAACCGCCCAACTCCCCCCCCCCCAAAAAAAAACATATTCTGGCTGGTGTACAGGTAAAATATAAAAACTATAAATAAATATATGAGGAGGCAAAGTTAAAAAGGCAAGGGGAGGGTTTTTAGGGTGCTAACCAATCCAATGGCTGTGTGCTCCTCTGTGAACCCCAAGCAAGATGGCAGGGCCAGGTTTTCAGACATTTCTGAAAAGCCAGGAGAGTGAGGAGTCCACCTCACCTTTGGGGAGAGGTTGTTACAATGGGTGGGGGCAATGGCAGAGAAGGTTCTCTTTTTGGACCCAAAATCAACCAAAATTCTTTAACTATCAGGATCCACTATATACCCTTCCTGCCTGACTGGATGGAACAGGCTGACATATTTTGTAAACTGTTAAGAGTCCTGTTTGATTGTATCACAGTATAAAGCTAAAACGGCAAAGAAATAAATGATGCAACTCTGCTTTTTTGAAATAATTTATTGCATGAGATCACCCTAGTTCTCACTCGGCTGGATTTTAGGAAAGCCTTTAAAACTTGATTTTTTAAAGGAAACCTTTGGAAGGGGAGCTAATTAAATCCACTGGGGATGTGCTGGGATGCTTTTATTCTCAGTAGCCTTAGTTCCTTAGTAATTATTTCTTATTGTGGTTTTGATACTTTATGATATCATTTATTTTATTTTATTTTAACTTTTTTATTTTATATTTATTTCTGTTTAAAAAGCTGATTTTAACAAACTTAGGGAAAACTTGAAAAGGGTTCCATGGATGAAAAACTTAAAGGGAAAAACAACTCAAGAAGCTTGGGAAACTCTGAAAAAGATGATTATAAAAGCCCAGTCCAGCACAATACCAGAAACATAAGAAATCCCAGAAGAAACCAGCATGGTCACACAAAGAACTCTCCAGTAAACTGAAACAAAAAAGGATAAATATAAAAAATGGAAAGAGTGACACATAACTAAGGTAGAATAGCAGCATATAGCCTGAATCTGTAAAGATGAAAGCTAGGGCTCAAAATGAACCAAGATTTGCAACAAATGTCAAAAATAATTTTAAAAGTTTCTTTCAACTTATAAAAAAAAATAAGAAAAAAGTCAAAGAAATAATTGGCCAATGCCCCAAAAGATAGGCTCAAGATCCAGATGGCCCTATCTATCAAAATGAAATTCAATGTAAAGAAAAGCAAGGTTTTATACTTAGGCAAGAAAAACTAAATGTACAGGCACAGATTGGGTGAAACTTGGCTCAATATCAGTAATTGCGAGAAAGATCTTGGAGCCCTAGTGGACAATCACTTAAATATGAGCCATCAGTGTGCTGCAGCTGCCAAAAAGGCCAATGCAGTCCTAGGTTGCCTTAACAGAGGGATGAAATCAAGATCACATGAAGTGTTAGTACCATTTTATAAGGCCTTGGTAAGATTATACTTGGAATACTACATCCAGTTTTGGTCACCACAATGTAAAAAAGAAGTTGAGACTTTGGAAAAAGTGCAGAGAAGAGCAACAAAGATGATTATGGGGCCAGAGGCTAAACCATATGAAGAACAGTTGCAGGAACTAGGTATGTCTAGTCTAGTGAAAAGAAGGACCATTATAGCAGTGTTCCAAGATTTGAAGGGCTGCCACAAAGAAGAGAGGGTCCACCTATTTTCTAAAGCACCAGAAGGTGAGACAAGAAACAATGGATGAAAACTAATTAAGGAGAGAACAAATGTAGAACTAAGAAAAAATTTCCTGACAGAAATAAAATAAACCAGTGGAGTGGCTTGCCTTCAGAAATTGTGGGTACTCCATCATTGTAGACTTTTAAAAAGAGACTGGACAGTCATTTGTCTGAAATAGCATAGAGCCTCCTTCTTGAGCAGGGGATTGGACTAGTAGACCTCCAACTCTATTATTCTGTTGTCTTTTACGTTGGAGCCCTTTTTACTATAAGAATGAAATATAAGACATTCTGAGTGTTGAGTGGAAGCCGAGGATGGCATGCTTGGAATTTTTCCACTTCTGCTGTTGCTTGGGAATTAGGGAGGGGGGACTATCTTCAGAGATAGGACAGGCTCTTTCCCAGCCAGTTGTTGCTAGGTTCCAAAGCCGTCACATTCTGAGTGTAAACTGTTATCTGCCTAGCACCTCAGTGTTCTCAAAACATCTTCTCAGCATTACATTGGCTACTCGTCAACTGGTCAGGGGTGGTGTTGTGATTGGGAAATCAAAAGAGTTGCTTTATGCTTTGCACAGGACCTTCAGATTCCACCTGACTTTACTGCATTCAGTTTCTCTTAGTAATAGTTCTTTTGATTCAACTCAATGGATTCAAGAACCTTACTTTCCTGAGGGCCTGGCTGGGGCAGATCTGATAAGTTATATGAATCCAAGTGGTATATGTATAAATATTCACTCAGAGAGAAAAATTGAAATGAATGAAGAGAACACAACACCAACTTCTTATTTGGGCTGCCTATCAAAGGCTCATCTAACATCAAGTTCAGTGGGATATTTTTATTCTAAGAATATGTGTATAAAATATAGATAGTCCTCATTTAGCAACCACAGTTTGGACTGGCAACTCAACTGAATCAGTCACTAAGAAAAATCATATAACTATGAGCGTGCTTACAAACTTACTTCAACTTTCCTTTACATACTACAAAGGTTGTAAATGCAAGGACTGGTCACAAAGTTACATTTTCATTACCATCAAATGGTCTCTAAATGAGACAGTCACTAAACAAGGACTACCTGTAGTATATAAACATACTCTGTAAAGAAATAAAGCATTACTCTCACTTTCCAAAACCAGCAAGGGTATATCCTTTTGGCTAAATGTTGTCCAATTCAAAGTCTGGTATCTTGAAGAATACTCAAGATGTCATGTTTAATTCCTGATTTTAAAATCCTTGGGGAAGTTCAGCAGATATTCAGCATAAAAAATCCTCAGTTACTGTATCTGCATAAGAGGCAGTCAAAATACAGACATGCAGATGTTGGGGATGGGAGAGATCAACAGAGTTCAGTAAGAGGCAGCAATGCAGCTGCTAGACAAGTAGATTTAATATACAAAGTACAGATTTCATGACTTAGCCTCTCAGTAAATGATGCCAGGAATTAATTATCTAAAACATATGAACCCAGCCTTACAATTGAAATAAAATGCATATGAATTCTTAACATCCCCATCTCATCCTAGATCTCATCTGGATATTAATAACTAGTTTACTGCAAAGTCTGTAGAGGCATGAATAACGTACCAAGAGCTATTACATACATACCTAACCATATGACAGTTATGTTCCTCCTCTTTTTTCTATTTTCCTATGTATTAGATTTTAATCTTGCTATTGTATCATAAGTTCTAGCCAGTCCAGTATACCTGCCAATTCCAAAAAGCACGAGTGCGAGCTGGTCGCTGTCCAACGTGCTGAAACTCCACGCTGAAATTCCAGTTCCGAGCCGTGGTAGTCGGCAGATGGCGCCCTTCTGCGTGTTGTCAGCATCCAAGCTCCCCCCCCTCCCCGAGAATGGATTTCTTCAGCACCCAAACAAACAGGACCTTTCATCGTTGGATTCAGAAAATTTTTGCGCTTTTGTAGAACGCGTTCTGCACGGGTTCTTCCTTGCCCCATAGCTCATTCTTCTCTTTTTCAAAGAAATACTCACCATGTTGACTTCAGAGACCACGTCTATACTGGCGATCTCTATTCTCATTCCAACATCAACAGGAGAACCTGGAAACCGAGATGGGTGATTTATTGTGGGTTTTTTTTAATGACCAGCTAAGGAAATGAATTGGAATCTTCATTTCCAGTTTTTTTTGGGGGGGGGGAGTTTGAGACAGACAGACAGAGGGGGGGGAGAGTGAGAGAGAGAGAGAGAGAGAGAGAGAGAGAGAGAGAGAGAGAGAGAGAGAGAGAGAGAGAGAAATGACATACTTCTGCCCATATGTTGCACTCAGGAAGTAGTGATTGATTTGTTTAAGACTTCTGTGAAAGCCAAAAGCTAACAAATCTGACTGCTGGTATAAAAACTAGCAACAAAGCCAATATTTGTCCAACATGTATGGTTGTAAACTTACATACTTTAGTGTGTATGTGTGTGTGTAAGAAAGAGAGGGGGAGACAAAAAATAAGATATCTTTGGGATAGTATACAGCAGCCCTTCACCAGTCTTAGCTGGTTTAACAAAGTTAAGCAGAATCCTGTCTGGACAAGCTTGTAAACTAGATTAAGTAATTACAAAAATACCGGAAGAAGGTAATGGCAAACCACTTCCGAATGGTTGCCAAACAACTGTGTCAGCTACATACATAGATAAGTTCGATTCGGAGAAGTCTTTCCCTTCTACTCCTGAGATTGGACGAGCTACTTAGCAGGCAGGCTGATTTAACATTCTTACCAGCCCTCTGCCTCTGAAGGGAAGGAAGCGCACCGCGTCGTCTTCTAAAAAAGGAAACAAAGCAGGGGAGAGTTACCTCCAAAATCCGGTCTTAAGCGAATGTCGTATCCTTTGAGCAATCGGTCCACCGTCTCTTTCACGTAGGACATGTTGCTGGGCTCGTTCACACTAAACAAGGCAGAAAGAGAGAAAGTGATTTAGGACGAAGGAGACACCCTCCCGCTCCCGGCCACAATCTGTTTATCCTGCCTCCCGGATGGGGGGGGGGGAGAGGGGAAGAGTTCGAAATCATTGAGGGGGCTCAGGAAGGAAGGCGGTGTATCTTGCACCATACCCGGGCACGCCAACACAAAGGGGGGAGAGAGATAGGCAGACAGACACGCACGCATATACACAGATATCTACCCCACACATGCACCTCCTTGCGCCCAAACGCCCATCCTTACCTCTTAGCATAGGAGACCACAGCTATCATCACCGGGAAGACAAAAATCCCCGCGCCTCCTCGGAACTGAACTGCCCACATTCCTTCCTCCTGGTGAATAGCGGATGCCACTTTTTTATCCCCTCCCCCTTCTCACTCTCCGCTCCACCCGCGAAGATTCCAGGAATGCAACAGGCCACAGGCAAATAGCCGCCGCCGCCGCCGCCGAGAAGAGCGTCACGCATGCGTGGCACTGGTCCAATATCTGAAGATCTCGGTCAGCGTGGACCACTAAGCCGGTCAAATGAGCCACGCCGGAGGGCCCTGCTCGCTCTGCGAAGGGCGGCCCTCTGAAAGCCGAAAGCTCTTCGGCCGGGCAGAAGGTGAAGACCAGCCTATTGAAGCTCATCGCAGCTGGGCAGCGACACCTCCATCCCTCCGCCGTTGCCTCTTCTATCCGTACGGCTAGTTGGTTAAAAAGGGAGCCAATTTAGAACGCAGCCGACCGCGTTATATCGCCACAGCTACCGCTGGGTGACGCAATCCCCATTTCCTCGCTCCTGGTTTATATCGCCAGTCCACCATTAGCTTCTTTCAAGCTTCTTTTCTCCTGCCCTATCTAGCTGGATAGAAGACAACCAGCACCAGCCCTGGTGCTGGTTGTCTTCTATCCAGCTACATATCAAATCCACTGCTCAAGTTTGGAGACTATACATAGGAAAGGCTAAGGCAAGCAAAGCAGTCCTAAATAACAATCCTTCTTTCTAAGGTTCCTTTAAAAAAAAAAGGATGAGGGGACATAAGTAATTTGACTTCCACCAGAATCCCCTAAGCAACAGGAAGGTTTGCACCTACAACAAGAGATGATACCCTGTACATTCACTCATTGTGGGTGTGGGCAATACAGAAGTACATAAGAATCCTTTCCACTTTGGTGATTTATAGCTTCTTCCAGCACCACTGGGCCACCACTGTGGCATATGTTGCTAAGAAAGATGGAATTTATTTTGCCACAGCAAAAGTTGGAGGTGCCATAAGAAGCTACAAATCATTAGTGTGGAAAAGGTCTTCCCCTGCACTCCTCTTCTGAATAATAGGGTGGTGAAATTGGAACAGTTATTAATCTCACCACTGCTGTCAGCTCACAGGCATACTGCCAACAAAAGAAGAGGGCAGGGAGGATGAAAGGGCAATAAAGCTTTGTGTGTATGTGATGGGAAATCAGAAGGGGGGGAATGACAGGTGAGAAGGACCAGAGCAGCTGGATCCTGTTTGTACCAGCACCCCTGGCCATGGCCAGGCACTTTGAGAAATACGTGGAGTACCTTCAAACATCTCAGAGTTCTCAAAACATCTTGTTCAGCTCTGGTTAGCTGGAAGGGAGGGATGGGCTGGGGGCAAGCCTACATCTTATTTTGCATCCAGTGAGCATGGTGATTTCAGAGCTGGCTTGAATTTAATGCAACCAACATTTGACATTAAACCAGTTTTGCAGTTGTGGTCAACCCAAAGAAGAAACTGCCTCTACCATGGGGACCGTGCAAACAATATCGTCTCAAGGGAGCAACCAGGAAGCGGTCAAGGCCCCACTGGTCAACTGGACTATTCCATAGAAATCCTACTGGGGGCCAAACTACCCAAACCTAAACTGTATTCCATGACTTCTAGGGAATTGGAGGAATTGCAGACTTTTATAGATAAAACCTGAAGCGTGGATTCATCCAACCTACCAGAACAAGGCTGGCTGCCCTGGTACTGTTTAGGGAAAAGAAGTACAGGTCCCTTTGTCTATGCATTGATTATCATGGGCTTAATGCTGCGTGTATGGAAAATGTTTACCTACTCCCCCTCATGAAGGACATGCTGGCCCATTTGGCCAAAGGAAAAGTTTTCACCAAGTTGGATTTGAGGGAGGTATACTATCTCTGCAAATGGCAAGAGATCTGTCCAATTGTCTTGTTGATAATGTAGCATCTGAGGTACTGTTACAGCAGTGAGTTGACTGTCTCACACACCCTGTTTGTTTGGGACTGTTGGGAGGAGCATAAGCTCTGGGCAGTGACCATTAATTTCAAAAACTTGCACCAAAACTGCAAAGTAAATTGCACCCCCTCTGGTCTAATATGATGCGGTCAGGGATGCCATGCAGCCAGTAGACATGTTCTACAAATAGTTTAGCTAAGGTGTGGGCTGATGGGATTTTGGGACATGGGATGAAATGAACTTGCTTTGAAAATAAGTCCATGACTGTAAAACACTAAGAAAAAGAAGCAGGCACATCTTGAGCAGAGGTTTGAAGCTGCAGGACACAGCTTGACAAACTCTGAGTTTATTGCCTCTTATATACTTGTTACATACATAGGCTTTACCATTAAATGCTGACAAAGGTTTCTTCACTGGAAAATGTCTTCATGTAAGCAACTATTTTCTAGTAACACATTACATGGTCAGAGATCAGGTAACAAGCAAACAGGAGAAGGAACTAACAAAGGCAGGAAGAGATAGGAGAAGGAACTAAGCATATTATCTGTTTAGATAGGTAAGGCATTAAGTCAAAAGGGTATGAACTTCTGGCTGCTTCATTAGGACAAAGAGTATCAAAAGGTTATGAGGTTTGTGGGGGGGAAAGCATGGCAGTTTGCTGCGTGTGCAAATTCCCCCACATCTCACTCTTCTCTATTTTATTAATGAGGACATTATCCTAAGCTGGAGTAGTTAGTGGGTCTTAGTCAGGGGACATATAACTTTGCATTTATTTATACAAAACATAACTTGTTCCTGAGGTAAGTTAATGGTAGTTTAGTGTGGAAAATTGAAAGTAGAGAAAAAAAAGACATTGAATAACCATATATGTGCATAATTAAAAGATATCTCTTGAAAGGAGGTACAATTTAAAATTCCTTGACTGATATGTATACAATGAAGTTTTTTAGATGAAGTAGTACAATTGACAATTTTTGCACAAGTAAGATTTGTAGGAACAGCTAAAATTGGTGTATGTAAAACAATAGCATCCAGGGGTAACATGTAAGAGGCATGACCCTAGCTTGACATAGTTGCATAATGAAATTTATTGTCTGATAAAAAATTGCTTAAACCAGTATAATTGTCAGAATCCAATTATACTTCATTCCCAGTTATCAATTATAGAAAACCCCATTTCTGCCCTCTCTGGATTCTGTCATAAAGAAAGAGAAGGGGGTGAACAAAGGGGCTTTATGGACCTCACTTCCTTCCGTACAACTTCAAAGGGTTTCAATGTGGATAGCACCAAAAGGCCTTATCATAACAAAGGAGGCTATTTACCTTTCATATAGTTTTCTCTGAAGTCTCCATCCAGCCGGCAGAAAGGAAAAAATGGGTGGGATTGTGATGCCTGAAACTGTCACTGGAAGAGGGGGGTGATTGGGTGGAACTACTGGGGAACCCCTTAAAACCTCAAATGGGAGAGCTTGGACCCCAAGTCCTGTCTAGAATGCCTGCAACCATTTTCTCTTAATAAAGGATTCCTGTTGGAAGAATTATTCCAAGAGTTCTGTCTTCTTAAGATGCAAAGTGGGGTGGGTCCTTACATTAGACAGGACTTGCAAAATTAATCCACCTGGAAGGGAGACCCTTGCTGGGGGATTTTGCAAAAAATTACCATGTCAGACAATGGAGCAAGAGAGGGGGAAAACTCCCTGGAAAGAGAGCCGCTGGCCAAATTGGAACCTTGCCAGATGTTGGGATCTGAGAAGTCAGACTCCTCAGGAGAAGAAGCGGTGGAGACACGGGACCACAAGCCTCACTGGTCAATGGGCATTGGAAAGAAAAGTGAGTGGGGAAAGGAATCAAGAAAGGTGACCCTGAGACGGGGGACCAAGCAAGCAGAATGGAAGCAGGAGATGGAGAAATCCCTGCACGCAAGTGAAGAGGGAGAAAGCTGGGCACCATACTCAGACTGGATCCTAGAGAAAGCTATTGACTTGATGAAGAGAACTCTCAGCTCCCTAAGAGAGGAGAATCCTGAGCCCTGCGGATGCCCCAGCTCCTGGAACCGAAAAGGGAGAGACACCGAGGGGGACGTAGAACCTGAAACCCCGGGGACATCTGCTGATCCAGTAGTCCCCACCCCCTACCGGACCACAGATGGCAATCTGGACAGAAGATACTACCACCAACAACAGAGGCACCGATCCATTCCAAGAGGAGGTGAAATTCAAAGGGGAGCCAACACGCTTGGGGTTTTTCCTAATCCAAGTCCTCAGCTACATGGAGGAATACGGGCAGGACAGCCCCAGTGACAAATCCCGCATCCAGATCGTGCAATCTGTCCTGGATGGACCAGCTGCAGATTGGGTGGTGAACTTGCATGACTCCAATGCCCCAGAACTCAGTAACTTCAACCGTTTCATGTCCTCTCTGAGAAGACGATTTGAAGACCCCCTGGCTGATCGCAAAGCCCATGAAACGATAAAAACGATGAGCCAAGGCAAACGCCCGGTGGCTGAATATACACAAGAATTCCGGGCCATTGCCAGCAAACTGAATTGGCCAGAAGACATCCTCCTTAGCCATTTCAAAGACGGACTAAATTATGATCTATATGACACTTGCCTGCCCCGAGGGGACCCACACTAACTTGAGGAATGGTACATTTTGGCAGAGGAAGCAGAGATTGACATATTGAAAAGACACCACTGAGGAAAACAATGGAGCCGCCCCCTGCCTGAGCTGACACACGAACCGGTGAAATCATAGGCTACAGCCAAGAAGCAAATGGGGTGTTTCAAGTGTGGACGAGAAGGGCATCGAGCTGTAGAATGCTGCTCCAAAGCCCCCCAGCACAACCCAGACAGATCCCCAATCAACAAATCTGGAAAGTCTTCAGCTAAGCCAAAAGAAACGGCCATGAGAATGATGTAAATTGCGGAACCCCCCACTTCTGCTCACCAAGGGGAAAGAACTCCAGCCTACACCACAGGGCCGGTGGATGCCTCAGATGACAATTCGGAGGGCGAACCCCTGGTAAGTGGACACATCACACCCATCCTCAAGACAGTGACTATATTAATTAATTAATTAAGGTGAAAGCCTTAATAGACTGGCTGCACCCACTGCCTCATTAGCCCAACACTAGTGGGGAATCTGGGCATCCCATCGAGGAGACTGGAACAACCAATTTCATTTGGCTAGTTA